TTGACTTGCCTCATGATGATCAGTGATGACTTGACTTGACTCAGAATGATCAGCTGTGACTTGACTTGGCTCACGAAGATCAGCTGTGACTTGACTTGGTTCACGAATGGCAGTAATGACGTGACCGGTTGTTGTGGCCGCCATTTTGTGAGTGCGCTCTGGTGCAGCCACCATTTCAGTCATAGATGTGGTGTCGCGTTCTTCCTCCACGACACCCACAGTGAATAGAGAGCCAACAGTCAACAAAGCATAATCCATAAACTGACAGAGTGATGAACGCGGACCCTCGTGTCTAAGCTTAGACGGTTTTAATCAGCGGTTGATTAATGCCATCGCAAAAAAACTCTATCAAGGGCAAGACAGAAGAGTAATCCAAAACGGGCGTGGTCGATCAGCGGCTAACAATATCCAGAGGGCTTGACAAGAGGGGTAATCCGACAACATGAGCAATAGTCCAGGCAAGGTGCAAACATAGTCCGAATGGCAAGATGAAAGGATAATACAAAATACACAAGAATCTGAACACGTGAAAGCAGGCAGGGCAAGACTATGACTTGGAACTAAGAACTAGAAATGGCTTCGTAGAGTAGCTATCGCTATGAGTGATAAACACTATACAATACTTGGCGTTGAATGGTGGTGTGAGACTGATTTATATAGTGTGTGTTATTGGTAGCAGCTGTGTGTGATTGGTTTCAGGTGAGCTTGTGATTAGTGCAATGGAGCATGGGAAATGTAGTCCAGGGTGATGTGTAACAGTCTGTGTGGTGTGAGAGTCAATATAATGGGAGGGCGACCTCTGGTGGCAAGCAGACGGAAGTTCATGGACAGGATTCGTGACAGCTATAAATGATTCTCCACCTGCGGCATCCTCACATGCGATATAGCCTACTAGCCGGGACAACTTCTTTATGTTTACAGACGTGACGTAATGACGCAGCAGCATGCTCGAATTTCCCGTGAAAACCTACCCGTACCACTCAAATTAGAAAACATTATTATAAGCTAACCGCTGTGAATCGGGCTAAAGCAAGGCGATAGTTTTGAACACTAGCTGGTTATGTACTTGCTCAAATATTGCTTTAAGTAAAAAGATGTCTTTACAACTTTCACTTGTAATGGAGTAATATTTGACCAGCAGTATCTGTACTTTCACTCAAGTAATGGAGTCGTGTACTTTGTCCACCTCTGTTATATATAAAATAACCGCTGAAGTGTATAACTGAGAGTTCGGCTTGGCAAGCAGATTCATATTGTGCTAGTTTCATGTATTTTGTATCCTCTCATTTTTTTTCTTTTAACATGAAATATTGATTTGAACTGAAATTACTTGGTCTATTTAACTAAACACCCATGCAATAAGTGAAATAATGTACAGCTAGTCATTATCTCAAAACAAACCACAACAAAATAGCTATACAAATATGCATCACTATATTCTCCACTGACTTCTCTTTCTGTTCTCAATAGATATTATCAAAGTGTAACGTTGTGACCACATGTGTGTGGATGCTGCTTTCTTCCTTTCCTGGTAATGATTATGCACTTCTGTTCAAATTTTAAGCACAGTGTAAGAATTACAGAACCTCAGACACTTTGATCTTCTGAGACAGACAATACACACACAGTGCATTAACATACAGACATCTGTCTCCACATCTCACTGAAAGAAAATGCGGGAAAATGTCTCTCACATATGCATTGGTTCCTCCTCATCCCCTTCCTTCCCCTCACCCATCCTTCTCTTCACCCAGCTCACTCAGAATGGTCAAGAATATAATGTTCTATATGAATGCAAATAAGATTTACAGTCATGTTTGGTTTCATTTGAATAGTTTCAGGGCGAGCGGTACAATGGTCTTAATCTTACAAAAGTAGACTAAAAGATAATCCAGATCCTAAGACTAAAAGATACTAGAGACCTTCATCCGCCACTGGATACCTTCCTTGGGCCATGTGCGCGGACCTTACAACAGATTATAATCATTGGAAAATCACTGAATCAAATCTTCATACTATGATGCATCAATAATTGGCTGTCCTGTCTTTTTCAGTTGTTATAGCTGGACATGCATTATTTAACAGCACCTCAGTTCAGACTGTTCATCGAGGAATGTCAGTCAATATCAGCTGTAACTACAAACCAGCAACTGACAGTGATGACATAGTGGAACTGAAAACTAATGGTACATTGTGCTGCTCAGCAATGAACAGTAACAAATTATGGATATATCGGCCATGTAGAAATCACTTTAGATTTATTTGGATTCCAGAAACTGTGCAAATGGCATTTGAGATATCAAATCTGCAGATAAATGATACTGGAACT